AGAAAAATCACTTGCACAGAAATCTATATAAAAAGAAAAAAAATATAAATTTGTCATCACCCAGAAATCTTACTATTTCAATTGTAAAAGTTTTAGGGTCTTGGGCTACAAAATCCAATTGTAGAGGCTTTTTTTCCCCATCAGAAAAGCCAACAAAAGGGCATTCTCCAAAATTAGATCTTTTGGTTTTGCTAATTTAGTCTAGTCAGTAATGTCAGGGCCATAACATAAGCCACGCCCATCTCTCTTGATTGGTTCTAACCTGTTTCTGCAGACTCTCTTAGTCCTATCCTGGTCTCGCCTTTGATATTTGGCTCTACCATCTCCTTTCCAGACTTGTATGCTGCATTTAAGTCACTCTGGGTGCTCAGGCTACCTACTTATATCAAATAGGTCAAGTCAGAAAACAAAAGGTGAACAGGGGAATCCTTATTATTTTCAATATTTGGCCATAAATAAATAAAAAAACTTAGGACACCCCATTACATGTTTTGCAGTCTAGTTAAAGTCTAGACACTTGAAGCATAACATATGCTCCTTTAAGTCCCTGTGATGGTAATCTAAGCCTTTATAAGACGACTGACTGCTCTGTCTTGTCCCCCATGAGACTGATGTCTGTCAGTCTCATGGCTCTGCTCTCGTTCCTGCAGTTAGAGGAACAGCTCTATAGCAGCCCAACGAAAGGCCATTGGCTTCAGTAGCAACACACTTTGAGCTGTACTACTCACAGGGGATTATGCAATTTTTATTTTGGAGATTTATGACATGGCAGAGCCAGAAAAGAAGATTTAAAAAAAAATTGTCAGAAGAGGAAAGTAAGAGAAAATTAGAATTTGATCGGAACAGGACTTGCAAAAGAGTACATTTGGGCAAGGCATTCCCTTCATGACAAGACCTCAAACAAAAACAAGGATGTCAAACTGATGCACACCTATTATTGGACATACAAGTGCTGCTAAAATCTGTTAAAGGAGGATTTTCACTCATTTTTGAAAAGACCTGCCCTCTTGACTTAAAAAATATGCACATGCACAACCCTGTACCCGGTCCCAAGAAGGAACACTTCTTATTATGAACAAGCCCATTTCTCCTCCTGCACGCTCTGTTTGAAAGTTGCTGTTTGCATCGCTCATATAAGTTTGCTTTCCAAAAGAAGATTCACCACTGGTAAGTGAAATTGGGGACAAGCACGTAGGGCGGCGTTACGTAAACATATCACCAGAATGATTGACAATTAGGAGGACCACTTATTTTGATGATCCAGCCAGAAAAAGAACATCCTCCACTATACCTTTAATGTTACTATTGTAACTTTGGAGCGATGGATTTTTGGCATGCAGCTTTAAAACAGGGAGAAGCTGATTCGCCTGATGAGCAAAAAAAATAGTCTACGTGAGACGCAGACTTACACTCACAGATAAATAAAGTTAAACAATACCAACCTCTTTAGAAAGAAAAAAAATTGTTGTATTTGACAGGCGAGCAGCGAACTGATTGCTCAGTGTTTACACCAATTTTATTTTTGAAAAGGTCCTGTAGTGGGAGTGTGACTCAAAAACTACTTGGTGCTGCTTTTTTTAAGGAACAATAAGAGATATTTAACCACCGGGTGAGCTTTTAAGCTCTGTGTGAAGACCAAAACAAGATGTGTGAAAAGCCACACCTCTCTCCATTTCCACTGTAACTGCAACTCCGCCCTGATGCATCACCCCATTCCTTCGCACACACAGCCTTGTATGCACATATTTGAAAAGAAGAAATACACAGCAAAACATCATTACCATTAAAAAGATCATGTCTAGTGAAGAAGTAACTCGTAATTTTATAATAACATTAGCAAGCAAGAAATTCATTTTAGAGAATTACCTTTCCTGTTTCTAAATAACTGCATAATTATTCATTTTAGTTTTTATAGTAATAGTATAGTGTTTGCTGACTGGTTACTTAGTAACATAGTTACACTATGAAGGCAGTAGGATAGATCTCCAAAAAAAAAAGCAATTGAAGTCAGCATCTCCTATGCTATGCTACACTGGCAGAGGCATTTTATGGGGAGAGACTAACCCCCAACGGTTAGTTTCCACGTGACACGCATGAACTTACATCTAAAAAGATACCCTCAATTCCTCGCAATTCTTTTTTTTTTCTTTTTTTTTTATGTAATCCACTTTTGCTCCTGCAAACAACTAAATAAAAACCTCAAAAGGATTTTACTTTCAGTATAACTAAAGATATCACTGCATTCCTGTCTCACTGTTGCACGATATAATTTCACACAATATAAAAATAAACAAATATACATACATTTAATTATACCTAGCACCAGTAGTCTAGTTTTTTTTTAAAAAAAGGGGGGGATAGGGTATTTTATAAATTTTTTTTGGAAGCATACATAGCCTAATTAATATAGATTTTAACCTAAAGCAATATGCATGGTGTGGTTGTTACATGTCAGGTACGCCGGTCATTGACATTGACTAAGGCACTAAGGCACAAATTTCCCATTGGGATCAGCTTCATTAGCCTCGTTAGACCATCCTGATCTCGCGAGCTTTCAAGGTTTCACTCGCAAATCAGTCTGGAGACTCCGTTAAAGAAAATTTGGAGCCCTTCACCAAACGAACGTCCGATCAGCGTTGGCTATGAGGCGGGTTGAGGTGTGACGCAACGAGAAGCGCGACAGTTCAGTCTAAAGAACATGGCAGCTTCAGCCGATGAAACTAGCGTTAGCGTGGCTATCGAGCAAGTTTTATCGGAATTACAGAGTATTTCTTCACTGAAAGAAGAGCAAAACACTGCTCTGGAGGCTTTTCTCAGAGGAAAAGATGTTTTTGCTCTTCTCCCGACTGGTTTCGGCAAGAGTTTGATGTATCAATTGGCTTGTGCCTGGCTTGTGGTTGTGTTTTCGTCGTCGCTCTGTTAGTACGTCATATGCTTCGTTGATCTGATTGGTTTATTTGGCCCGTCTATCACCAACATAGGCCAATCAGCTAACCAGTATTTTCGCCCCTTCCCAAAATTACTTCAACGGAAGGTTTCCAGATGGATACAGTATGCGGAGCAAATCCATCTGGCGGAGTCATAGCCATGGTAGGCCACTTATTTGATTCTATATATAAAGCTCAGGCTACTCGTAAGCCCACAGCCAGCCGAATGTTGAAAGGGCAATATTATTGCCATTACTGTTAATATATAGTAGACATTTTACAAATTCATTAATAAAATGTCACAGGGGATAGTATGGGGGATGGTCAATTCGAGTACTGCCCAGCACTACTTTCATCCCTATAAAGATTTTTTGTCCTTTAAATGAAAGTTTGCCTGCATTCTTTGTTATTCTGTCTTGAGAAATACAGCACAAATCATGAAACAGATAAAATTCTGAGCCAGAGGGGGACTTTGGTCCAAACACTTTGCCGTTTTTAATTCTGCTTGACTTAGCAGCCCTCATCCTCCAGGGGGGATTTATTTGTCTTTTTAGAGTTACAAAGTTTTCTTTTAACAGGCACAATCATATTTTTGTCTGGCATGAAAAAAAAAACTATGAAGCTAATGTTTAGATAAGCAAACAGAGAGTTAAAGAGGAAAGTCATACCTGTAAGCAGGGAAACCCACTGACCCAGTTGTCTAAAGACTCAAGCCAGAAAAAGAATACACCTCATATCACGCTCTGACATTTGAAACTGCTCCTTTTCTTGATTGAGTTTATGAAGGCATAAATGCAGGAACTGATGCAACTCAAAAGAGAGTTCTTAAATAAAATGTTAAAGGAGTTGGGAAAGGAAGACACGGCATGGCTATGAGTAATGGCCAGTACAGTCAGATAGACACTGGAATGGTAAATGAGGTATTATGATGGAAGAATCCAATAAAAAACATTAAAAACTGGAGAGCACATTTACTCTATCACAATAAACTCTTTAAAAATCAAGACATTTCTTTGGAATGAAGGAAAACTGAATCAGCAACACCCTTAAGGATTTTTGCAATCTCTGCTGAATGTGCATAAAGTACCTTAAGATAAATTTATGGCCTACTACGAAATGACTGCTTGGCAGGTAGATGGCATCTAACGGTTGCTATGGCAACTTTGTGACTGCATACATCAGACTTTACTGCAGCTCTCACGCTGTAAATGAACAGATTACAACTACCTTAGAAAGCAAGCCTCTCTTATCCTGGTTTTTCACAAATGTTGTTGATTTAACTGTAGTAATTTATTACTGATTGCACTTACAGTTAAACCAGAATAAGAACATAGCTTATTTTTAACTGTCTGATATTATAGAAGAATAAAGCTCTCAGATTGCAGAGCATTTTAGATAAACCAAGTTTCTTTTATTTGCCAAACATCAGAATGATTTTAGAATTTTGTATTTTTGCTCTTAAATAATTCATACCTAATCCTTAATTTACTTCTTATTAGGAAGCAGTGCAAGAATTCTTGCCAGCTCAGAACTGGTGTAACTCAGTCAGATTTTGAAATCCATTTTGCTCTAAAACAGATGTTCAGCTCTGCTCCAGGTCAATCCAAAACATTGACTGTTTTTCTACATCACCTGTGTTGCAAATTTGGCAGTAAGATTTGGGTCATTGTCATTTGGAAGACCAATTATTGGTATAGCTAATTCTTTTGAAATTCTGCATTAATCCCCTCGTATAATGTCCTTCCCTCATTTAACACTTCATTCTGTGATGCACCAGCCAATCCTGCAACAGAACACCCAACAAAAAGCATCACAAAGAAACACAAAACACCACCCCAAGTTGTTTGAATTTGAAGTAAAAAAAAAATATCTATATTTTTTTAATAGCCTATATTGGCATTTTTTTTCACATTTTAATAATTATGTTGTAGCTGACTTAAAACAGGAAACGTTTCAACACATTTACTATGAGCTTTGGAGAAAAGAAGTTTGGATGTATTTTTCTGCGACGGTGCACAAATACCTGCCTCCGTTTGAATAATCTGTACAATTATAGTTTGTTTATAGACTTACACTGTAGAGGATGTCCACCCAGCCTTCCATTGTGATGCACTGGAACACTGTCAGCACTGCAAACAGGATGTTGTCAAAGTTGGTGATGCCAAAATTAGGTCCGGTCCAGTATTCCTGGCAAACAGTGCCATTGGGGCAAGTCCTGGCTGGTAACTCGGAACCACATGGCCAGTCAACCACTCTTTCAGCTGAACAAAAGAAAGAAACAGAATGGCACAGAAAGACACTGATTGTAAGGAGGAAATATGTTGGTGACACATAAATCACACTTTTGTAAGCTATATTAAACTTTATCATCCAAAATAATACATGAAAGTTTGTTGTAATGTTACATAATATGGATAAGTTTTACATGTGCTGCTACTGCTGTGAGAAAAGCATTAATATCTGTAATCTAATCATGCCTTTGACATAAAAGAGTAAAGGAAATCAGCTGTGAATGTTCACCAAGCAAAGTTCATGCCCTCACCGCCAGGCTTGAAACAGGACTGATGGAACTTCCCCATGTAGAACTCCACCCCGATAATGGCGAACATGACGATGGCGAAGAAGAGCAGCAAGCCGATCTGAAGCAGCGGCACCATGGCTTTCATTATGGATTTCAGGACAACTTGGAGACCTGTGGGAGACATTTAGATTTATGCTTGAAAATGATCTGTGCCATGCATTTGATATCAGTATTCAGGTGGACTTACTAGGAATCCCTGACACCAGTTTTAGGGGCCTCAGCACTCTAACGGCTCGCAGAGTTCTCAGGTCAAAGTCTGAACCCACCGTGGCCAGGATGCTGCAGACAGGAAGAGAAAAATATGATGTTTGCTAGAAGTAATTCAGTAGCAGATTGGGAAAATGTAGAATCAACACCAATCACTTCATGCTCATCCTGAATAATAAAACTCTACAGGAAAGAACTGAAGAAATGTTGGCAAGCACCTACTAGTGTTAAGTTTATTTGACATTTATTATGATATAACACATTAAATCAGAAATTTTACGATTCATAGTACAATCATATTCTGTTTAAATTAGGTTACACAAATCATTGCAGCTCTTAGTAAACTTAGTACAATATTACCTTTTCCCAGAACCAGAACATTATCAAAGTCATGATGTTTTATCTTTTTAATAGTTTTTAATTCCCATCGTCCTTGTAAGAATAGGTCCACCATGGTTTGGAAGTTTAGTCTATTTATTATTTTTAAATTGTACCATTTTCTACATTAAAATTGCTCCGTAATAATCCCATATAACTAACTACTGTGAAGGAAGCAGGTGTAAGACCAAAATAGCTAATTGTAAAGCTGACAAACTGCTAAGAAAACTGGTTGTAGGGAGATGAAAGTAAATGTTATGACAAAGACCTTAAATATATTTGTGCTCCAAGGAAACGGCAATTAGCTTTACTCCAGAGTGTCAAGAGCAAATTGTTTAATGTAGATTTCAAGGCTTTTTAGTTTTGATTTTGTGACTGTGTCAGGAATGCAGTAAGAATAACATAAATTATTTCATAACTATGATTTGGGGAGTGACAGCCTAGTGGTAGGGGCATTGCGCTTCAGTTCAAGCCCAACTCCCACAGCTCAGGGTCCCTGAGCAAAAAAGCCTTAACTCTACACTGCTCCCCAGGCGCCGCACAATGGCAGCCCACTGCTCCGCAAGGGGACAGGCTAAATGCATAGAGTGAATTTCGTTGCTATCTACTTGTGACACTGTAATGACAATAAAAGCTGTAAAAGAAATTAAAAGATGTTTACCACTGTGGGTGCTTCCTAAGTCCAGAGAGGCGCATGCTTTCTGCATTTGGGCCAGACTGAGGCAAGGTTTGTATTAATGCTGGAGTTTATTTTGGAGTAGTTGTTTGGTCCAGATCAAAATTCTCTGGTCTTTATTCACACCTGCATAAAATGTCTGAACTAAGAAGGAGCTAATTCTGGTCTGTTTGAAGTGGGTTAGGGTTAAGGTTACATTATGGGTCAGGACAACTGCATTGAGGACTAATTATTTTTGCGCTCCACCCAAGCGACACCACCAATGTTTTACTCTAGTCAACACTTTCCAAACTACTTTCTCTATGATAATAATGTCTATACCATCGTTTGTGCTTCTCTTGGGGCCATATCAGTTGTGAGTGATGAAAGCAGGACCTCTGAAACACAATAGCTTCCTCCATAAGACCTTCAAGCAGTTCTTAATTGATATATTCCAAAAGCCCTTCAACCCATCCGTCCATCCATCCATCCATTATTCCCTCCATTCATAAGACCTTCAATCCACTGAAATCAACAGCTTGATCAGAATTCCTCAAATCGCTAGGGATGCCAGGATGAAAGTGTGTCCGCTGTCACCATTCTAAGTGCTATATGAATAGTGTTTTTTAGCGCCAAAGGCACTCTGCATGGCCACCGCTAGGAGTTTTAGCGATTCCCACAATGCCTTGGGTGACACACCATATAGACACGCCCCACTTCACTGAGTTGAACAAAACTACATTATTGTGTGAAGTGAAACTGGGTGTGACACAGTGTACTGTCATTACCTTTACATGTCTTTGTTTATATGAAGGAGAGCTTCAGCTGTTTGCTTCCTTTGTGTATTATTTTAGTTTTTGTATTTAATTTCCAGAAGGTTATAATCCCAATTTGACCAGTATCATGTGCGTGCCATGTAATGGCATACATAAAGCTCAAAGGTGTTCGGATTTACCATAGCAGTCTAGAGCTCCTTTCCTACCCTGGATAGGGTTCTTAATGTTGACCCACTAAAGGTGAAGGGATAGGAGCTAGCAACAGGAGAACTACAATTAGCTACAATTTGGGGTATTCAGATTGAACCAACATGTCCAAACATTCCAGCCTACTCCAAAAAATCCAGCTGATGATGAAAACTGACCATATTTTGTTACACATAATGAGTTGTACTTTATCTCTTCCTTTGTCTTTGTAACATTTAAACCTCTGCTCATTTTACAAAAAATTGCAAATCAAATAAACCTTTTTGTTGTTTTTTGAGTTTTTCACGGCACTAGGGTATGAGACAGGGGAAGAGACATGCGGCAAAGGACCAAAGGTCGGATTCAAACCCGTGTCGCCCCCGTCGAGGACTAAGGCCTCCTTAGATGGGTCGTGTGCGCTACCCACTGAGTCACCTGCACGCCTAACCATTTCGTTTTTAATATTATTTTCAAATTAAACCTTTTAAGTTAACCACAGGTTTGCCAAAGCTCTATACTATATCAGCAAAGTTTTCTCGTTAAATAAGTAGCAAATATGTCCAAAAGAAACACTAAAAGCAGTTCAGCAGAAAAAAAATCAAACTTAAAGGTAGCCTATTATGTCATGTGCTGTCCATTGCTGCCTCGATCTACGATTAGAGATGTACACTCTGTGTGTGTTGCTTCTGTGGCACAGCTGGCAGCCCTCATTACAGCCTCTACACACAGGGGGAGACTTAAGTGCTTCACTGAGAGAGACACACACACACACACAAAAACACAGTCCTTCAGGCTAGAGACTTAGGGAGAGAGCAAGAGGGAGAGGAGGAGGAAGATGAAAATAGAAGTTGATTTAAGGAGACAGAGGGTAAGTGGATGCAGACGAAGAATTATAATAATGTGATGTGGAATCAAACAGGGAAGCATTCCTGCACACTTTCCACGCTACAAGCACAAATTGATTTTTGCATTATTTCATGTGAGATATTCCACCGTTAACTTAACTCCTTTTTATTTATAAAGCACTTTTTTAATGCAACAACATCACAGAGAGTTCTTTAAACAATGAAAACCAACTAAAACATTAAATGTTGGTGTGAGGCTAATATGAACTCATTCTGACTAAGAATATCACAGCATTTTGGAAATTTGATTTATTTATTTGAACTGTATTTCTAAACTGTACAACCGCAAATGCTTTAAAAACTAAGACCAAGGCAGAAGTTTGGGATTTTTGTGAATTTTCTTTAATCTGCAGAGGATTATTATGGTTCACCCTGACTTAGACATTAACAAACATTCATTCTAGATCCTAATAAATTAATGATGAAGGTTTCAGAGTAGCTTTGAAATACAGGAGGCCAATTCATATCTGCTGCTGGTTGGTGATTATGACTATTACTACCTGAAGCAGGTAATCCATCTGTGCTAATATAACATGGGTTTGTTTTCACCTAAATATGGGGAGCACTAAATTACTAGATTTTCAGTTTAAAACAGATTAGGCATGTTTTCTGGAGCCATTCTCAATCAACTCTGGTTTCCAAGATGGTGAGATCACCTTTTCAGATATTTTGCAACGTCGCCACACAATAACTTGTAAATAATCTGTTGTTTTTAAGGCACAAATATACATGGGAATGTTTTCATCTTTCTATTCATCCCAGTAAGTTTATGTTTCTTCAAATCCAAGTATGCTCTTTTTGACATCGGTAAAGTATTTGTTTTTCCCCTAACTGTACGGTCTGTCCTTTTTTATTTTATATGCCTTTACCATTTTAAGAAAAGATTTAAAATGGTTACTATTGAACAGTATAAGGATGAACTGGGATGATGAATGCAGCAGGGAATTACAGCACTGGGGATGACTTGGAAAATTGAGTGCAGGTTTGTCTATGTATGTGTAAATATATGCAGGTGTGTAAATAGGTATATATTATTTATGTATATATGCAGTTAGATGTGTATGTATTTATATATGGGTGTATGTATCATTTTAATCTGGTATAGGAAATAACAATATAGTTATTATTATTATTATTATTTTGTTTTTTTCCCCCCTCCTTTTGGAAAGGATACTGGTAACAAGATGACTATTTATGGTATGAATTAAGGAATGGAATAAGGGAATTTTTATAAAAGTTAAACCTCATCATACTTTACAGACTCACAGTCACCAAATAAGTTTTGCATTAATTTGTATTTGAGTATGTAAATTTGATAGTAAGGTATTGTATTAACATTTAGAAAAATGAAAGTATTTTTTGTTATTACATTTTGTTGGTCTGGTTTGTCTGTCTGAAATAAAAAAAAAAGTATCATCATCATCAGCAGCAGCATGAAGCAGGATTACTGGGTTAGCCAGCCAACTTCCTGTTTAACCTGGACTTTCTGGTACCACAAAGCTAGATTTAACCTCAGCAAGGTTAGTCACCATGGTAACCTACTCTAAACGGCAAACCTGCTCCGGGGCAGACTACTTTTCAGGATTGATACAGATATTCATGGACCAGACTGGCAGTGTTGTGGTCAAGACCACCTAACCCGAGACCAAGACAAGACCAAGACCAGAGTGTAT